GGATTCTGAACTCTGATCTCTATCTAGCTCTTTAACAAAGTGAGACCCTGGGCTTTTTGTTTCGGGTCCCTGCACTGTGACCTGGCAATTGCCTCCAGGCAGTAATCTGGGGGCAGTCACAAGGCTCACTACTTTTATTTTAGTCTAATGTCTAAAAACAGTTGTTTCGCATACACTGGTTTTCTAGTTGCTTATGGAAGAAAGGAAAATTCAGAAATGAACTGATATATTTGAGGAAAGACTTTGATACAAAAATTGTTTTTATAATGAGCAAGAGTCAACACTACTTAAACTTATGTTATTCATTCAGTGTTTCTTCAGTACACATTGTGAGGCTTTCAGGGAAAGAAAAAAATCAACTGTTTTGTGTATTTTTTTTAAGTCTTAGAAAATGAAAAAAAAATGTATATACTAGTGGCCCAGTGCACAAATTTGTGTATATTGAAAGGAAATAATTAGAATAAATATTTTAATATCACTATTCACCCTTTCTCTATAGAAGTGTCAATCAAATTCACGATCAACAGTGACAGATTGAAACACACATGTGTGATTGGTGCCAGTGAGAGATTTATATGTATAGTGCATGCACATCAAGCCATATATATATATATATATATATATATATATATATATATATATATATATATAAACAAACTTAATTAGACCTGCTTTCTGATTTAGCTAAATTTTTTCCAGCCCAGTGAAGCATTCCAACTTCTCTTTCAGGTAATTGTTAGCAACACAGCAGTAAATATGAACACTAAGTGCATTATGATTGTAGATCATGTAGGGAGAACACATATTTAACTGCAACAGTGTTTGACTATATTCTGCACAGTGAGAAAACCTGAAGTCATTTTTAAGGTCCACCATTTCTTACTTCTTTTCAGTCAGGTCATGTTTTTAAGCTTTCTAAACCTCCCTTTTCCAGCTAATGAAAAAAAAAAAATAGGATTCCACCAAGTCTATTTACCTATTCCGGGACTTCTGTGAGGATTAAGTTAGATGAGGCATGGGAAAATGCTTTACACATTTGGTTAAAGTGTAAAATGTTTCCACCTGGCTATAAAGCAAGCCATGTTCCTGGACTGAAGAAACTGCAAAGAAGTTAGTCATCATTACTAGGGAAGGAAGGCGGGCATTGCTATGTTGATATCCTTAGCATATTAATGGAAGGATACTTAGCATATTAGCCTGTTAATATTATATATAGATTTTTATAGATTTCAGAGAGGAAGGGCAAGGGAGAAATAGAAAGGACAGAAAGATAGTTAGTAGGAAATGTCATGTACTCTCTAGTACTGAATGCTACATAACTGATTATACAATATGTAGGGAGAGTGGCTCATTATATAACAACAATTAGCTGAAACTATTGGACCAAAAATACAATTGTTCAAATAACATAACTGATCTGGTTTAATCTGTGCATGTCCACAATTTTGCTAGGCTATTTCACACCCTCTCTTCAAAGATGCAGTATCCTCCTCACCCCACTGTACTCTTTTATTTCCTGAGAAAGTAAAAGGAATTAGGAGAGAATTTCTATGAGCACCAAGTCAAACAATCAGCCCGTCTATACTTGAACTTAAAGATTGCCTTTTTTTTTTTTCCTGATAGAACAAAATCTGTCCATGCTTCAGTTGATGGCTAAACCTTCTACTTTTATACTGCATCTCATGTTTTTATATAATCAAGGATATTGATTCTGAAGATATATGCTTCCTTCCTCATCAAATTTTCCTTTTATACCAGATCAAAAATGTCCAACCAGTATGTACATTCAGAATGCATTAAATTGAATAGAGGAATATGCAAATTATCTGGGACATCATCACAGTCTTGACCAATCAGCAGGCTGTGTGCGCAGCATGTCCCAGTAAGGCTGCTGAGGCTTTCACCTGGCCCTTTCTACATTGAAGACCGTAGGGTTCAATGCTGCGAGTCAGGCACAGGTCCCAGCCCCCGCAGCGCGGATCCAGCCTCACTTCTGTGGCAGCTGGCACTGTGCAAGTCAGGTGCGGGTCCTGGCCCCCCACGGGGTGCCTCTTCACATGATTTCTATCATGTGCTGGGCCTCTAGTATATAATAAAACCCTAATATGCAAATTGACTAAACAGTGCAATGATTGGTGAGCTCCCACCTCCACTGCTCAGTCAGAAGCCGGGCTCCTGGCTGGCAAGTGCAGTGGCGGTGGCAGGAGTCTAAGGAGCAGCGAGCTGAGCGATAGGGAGCAGCAAGCAGGTGGGTGGTAAGGAGTGAGGAATCCTAGACTGTGAGAGGGCACAGGCTGGACTGAGGGGACCCTCAGACCCCCATCTCCAGTGCACAAATTTCGTGCACTGGGCCTCTAGTAGTTTAATAAGACAATTGTGAACCAATTGTTCACAATTATATTTTGGTTCATTTCTGCCCAAAGTAATTGAGAGCATTATGTTTTAGTGAGACCTCATCTAGTGCTTTGATTGTAGGTAGTTTTAACACTAGTCATACCTGCTAATATTTATAAGGTGCTTATTCTACACTAGATACTGTGCTAAACTCTAAACACTTCACATGCATTATTCTATTTAATCCTCACATTCTCACAGCAATCCTAAAAGAAAGGTACAATATCTTACAGATAAGAAAAAACTGGGACTTAGAAAGTAACTTGTCTGAGGTTACACAGTAATTGCACAAAAGGATTCCAACCTGACTTTAGGGCTCACAATATTAAAGTATTACACCATATTTATTTTGTAATCTCAACACTAACACAGATGAAAATTTACTGTGTCTTTAGAATATTTATTTAAAATCAGTCAATAAATACAAAGACAAAAATTGTTACAAAACCCATAATTTTTACCTCAACATGCAACATAATTCACATTATTACACAGTTTTAAACAGAAAAACTTTTAGCACACAAACATCTTGGAAAGAATTATAATGTGATCCAATATTTTTTATAGCTAATGTTTCTGGGCAAAAAATATTATTTTCTGTACAAATTTTTAATAAAAAGATAGCAATTTCAAATGGAACATTATCATTTTATAGTACAACATTTCAACGAGAAATCAGAACAGTCATTGAACAATAAGTGTTTACTACATCCCAGGCATTATGTATAGCTTTATATTTAAGATATGGATATTAAACAATCTTGGAATAAAATAGGAAAGGAAAACTTTGATTTTGAGCCAAGTCAAACCTACATTTGGAGAATTATGTGTTAAGATGAGAGGTATTTATTCTGCTACTAGAGGCCTGATGCATGAAATTCGTACAAGGGGCTTGGCCCCTGCTGCTGCCATGCGGCTGCCACAGCTTCGGCCTCCACCCGCTGCAGCTTCGTCTGGAAGGTCGTTTGGACAGACATCTGATCTATGCTTTTATTATTATAGATTTTCTTCTAATAAAAAGCCAGTGTGCCCCCAGCCTGACATTTATTTTACAAAGTGTTTTGGGCACTGATTCTCAAAATTGGCTGAATACTGGAATCACATAGAAAGTTTGAAAAATACTGATACCTATACTATATACCACCGATTTTCAACTGGTATGCCACAAGAATTTTTAAAACATGCAATACCTGACTATTTAGCCAGGGGCACTGACCTCTCTTCCCTTAGGTTGTCAAAAAAAAAAAAAAAAAAAAAAAAAAAAAGCCAACAGAGCAATAGCTATCTAGAGTGACTGAATCAGTGTGATTTTTGTTAGACTGGCAAAAATATAAGATATTTTAGTGTGCCACAGAAATATTATAGTTAATGTGTGCCATGAGATGAAAAAGGTTTAAAACTGCTGCTGTATACCATCCCTCAAAATTTGGATTTAACTGTTATAAGGTAGGACCTAAGGATATATTACTAAAAGATCTCCAGGTGATTCTAATATATAACAGTTTGAAAAATACAAAATACTAGCTTAGAAAACTGTCTCATAATCAAAGGGGTCAGTCTTCAGCTGAAGGACTCCCCATGACTTGATTTTGGAGGGTGGGTGTACTGTTATTTTTAAGTACCTGTTAGGCGTATCTCCCTTAATTAGAAATAGATACTTTAAGGGAAGAGGATTTATGTTATTCATCATTGTCTCTCCATAGCTAAAATAATGAAAGGCTCATAGTAGTTGCTAAATAAATATCTATGAACACATGATTGTCTTATATATTTACTGAAAAAAATGAATGACTGAAGCAACTAGGATACATTTTTAAGGCAAACCAGTCTTATATATACACATTTTAAAAACACATACATATATAAATAGATCAAGAGTAGAAATAATGAGCTGAAACCGGTTTGGCTCAGTGGATAGGGCGTCAGCCTTTGGACTGAAAAGTCCCAGGTTCGATTCCGGTCAAGGGCATGTACCTTGGTTGTGGGCATATCCCCAGTAGGGGTTGTGCAGAAGGCAGCTGATCGATGTTTCTCTCTCATCAATATTTCTAACTATCTCTCTCCCTTCCTCTCTGTAAAAAAAAAAATCAATAAAATATATTTTTAAAAAAGAATAGAAATAATGAGTGCAATATTTAGCAGTTGAGAATTAATTCATTGAGTTTTCAAATATTCTTCATATTCTTAACTTAAAAACAAAAGTGACACTACACAACTAATTCTTTAAGCTAATATACATATGTACACATGCTGAGTTTTCTTTTAAAAACAGAATTAGAGCTTCATCTTGCTGAACATGTCAGTTTCAAAATTCAAGTAAACACAATTTTAGTACACATGATGATAGTTTTTCCTGATAACTGTATAAAAAAACAAAGATTGATTTATGTTAAAATATCTGGAATCACCTATTATTATTTTCTCTCAGTTGGGACCCACTAGTTTCTTAGCAGTCTCACATTGATAAAAACTATTTTGGCACTTCCATGTACAATGAGGTTTAGGAAAAAATTAATAAATAGACTTCCTTTTTAAAGAGTAGCTGGATTCTGAGATATGGCTTTATTTACTTAAGTTCCACAAGAATTAAATAATTTGTAATTCAGTTAGTATCTCATACTACGAAACTTGGGTTTTCTTAAAATTAGCATTGGTTGCTTGATTGTAGGTTTGTCACCAAAAAGTGCTGCTTCACTTTCCGTGGTTGGAAATCTTTTCTGATATATCAGTGGATATTCCTTCTGAAACTTAAAATGACATAAGGATTTAGAGAGTATTCAACAATTATTATCCTAGCTGAAGCCTGTATACCAGTATATTTTAAATTAATTCAGTGCCTTTCTCAAAGATGTACAGTGGAACCTCATTTTTCTAACTTAATTCAGTCAAGGTTCCGGAGGCTATTTGAGAAGCAATTTGTTTGAAAACTGAATCATTTTGTCCCATTAGAAATAATGTGAATTGAATTAATCCATTCCAGACTCCCAAATGATTCTGTTTTAACCTTTCTTATATAGAGTACAGGTCTAAATCTAAAATACTGTTAATCTATAAATAAACACTTATTTTCTTAAACTTATGGAACCACACCTACTAGCCTTAAAGGAATTTGTCATATACCACTGCCTCTAAAATGCTATCACCTGCTAACTGCTTTTCCTTTTTCCACAACAGTTCTTATTTGCTTGTGGTTGTTTTGTGAGCACTTTCACACCCTTAGCAACATTAGCAGTCTTGATGGCCACTTTATTTTTAAAATTGTGCTAATGTTTGCAACAAAAGCATTCTCTCCTTTGTTTGCTGAGAGGCACTTTTTATCATGCCGAGGTATAAGCATGAAAGGGCTGCCAGGTCAGAAACTGAAGTTTTGGTTGACAACAAAACAGTTTTCCTGTGCACAACGTGGTCCAGAACAGAACTGTTGGAGATGGGAGATATTCAAGAAACAAGGTTTGATTGCATTACAGAGACTAGAGGCCCGGTGCACAAAATTCGTGCATGGGGGCGGGGGAGGGGTTGTCCCTCAGCCCAGCCTGCACCCTCTCCAATCTGGGACTCCTCGAGGGAGGGGGCCTAAACGGACAGTCGGACATCCCTCTCACAATCCAGGACTGCTGGCTCCCAACTGTTTGCCTGCCTGCCCCTAACCACTTCTGCCTACTGCCAGCCTGATCACCCCCAACCACTTCCATGCCAGCCTGATTGATGTCTAGATGCTCCCCTGACAGCCCGTTTGCCCCCAACATCCCTCCCTCTGCCGGCCTGGTGACCCCTAACTGCCCTCCCCTACAGCACTTATCGCCTCCAACTGCCCTCCTTTGCAGGCCTGGTCCCTCTCAACTGCCCTTCCTTGCAGGCCTGGTACATCCCAACTGCCCTCCCCTGCTGGCTATTTGTGGTGGCCATCTTGTGTCCACATGGGGGCAGGATCGTTGACCACAGGGAGCAGCTATTGTATGTTGGAGTGATGGTCAATCTGCATACTACTTTTTATTAGATAGGATAGAGGCATGGTGCACAGGTGGGGGCCAGCTGGTTTGCCCTGAAGGGTGTCCAGGATCAGGGCGGGAGTTCCCTTGGGGCATGGGGCAGCCTGAGTGAGGGGCCTGTGGTGGTTTGCAGGCTGGCCACGCCCCCAAGCAACCCAAGCTGAGGCCCTGGTATCTGGAATATATTTACCTTCTACAATTGGAACTTTGTAGCCTGGAGTCGAGTCAAGCCTCCTGCTCACTCCATGGAGGCAGCAGTTTCTTGTTTACCTTCTATAATTGAAACTTTGTAGCCTTGAGTGGAGGCTTAGGCCTGCTAGGGCAGTCAGAGAGTGGCTTCTTCTGTTACCAGAGAAACCCAAGCCTCTGTGGCCACAGCCATCTTGGTTTAGGTTAATTTGCATATGTGCTCTGATTGGCTTGTGGAGTGGAATGATAGTTAATTTGCATATCACTCTTTTAATAGATATGATGATATAACCTTTCAAGTTATCCTTGTTCTCCCTCTGCTTTCTCATATATAAAAGGTACACTGTAAGATTTCTTAGATTTCAGTATTAACTTTCTAGGATTCTCCTCAGCTAAATATCCCCCTAATCTCCAGATCTTCTTCCTTCCCACCAATAAAGCCTAAGAATGATAAAGGGGTCTACTATATTTCAGAGACTTGAAATTGAACTAATCCAAATTATAATCATACAGAACACTAGAAGTAAAGGAGCATACATGCTATTATTATTAAAATTTAAGAGCAAAGAGTAATATCAGGCAGGGAGTCATATGCAGCTTATATATCCAATTAAAATATTAAAATGAGAAATTAAATGTTAAGTGTTATTAATAATTAGCAACGGCATTTTAAAAATTATTTACATGATTGAGAACTTGCTCATCCTCTTACCTGTTTTAGTTTTTTCCTCTTCTCCTTTAAAGGCAAACTCTTGCTTTTAATAATATTCTCCAAAAGTTCTGCAATTGCATCTTGAGAGGTAGAAACTTTTTGTTCATCAAACTCCTGAGCACTAATCTGCTTACAGTATGAATATGTTGGCAAAGGAGCAATCAGTCCATCTCTAGGATTTTTAATCTGTATTGAACAAAATGTTACAAAGTCTATTAATTCTGATAATGTCCCTATTTGATAAAGTGTTCTTTTGATGGCTTTTAGTACCTATTATTTTGCCATCAAGCATTCAATACTTTAAGGTTTAAGTTTCAGCTCCATAACCCTCCAGCTTTGATTCAGTAAGTATTTAACTTTTCTTAGTCTGTAAAATGTCCCCTGATTACATGAAATAATCTAACAAAAATGGCTAGCACACAAAAAGTATTAAAAATAAAAGTAGCTATCATCAGTGTAATTATTAATCATGGATTTTATTATCTTAACTACAAAACAATAACAATTGAAGTGGTATTTTAATGCATCTTAAAACACCAATGTTCGACATAGTAACAGTTAAAAGTACTCTTCTGTTTTCGAGGTTCAATGACATGGCTGAACCCAAAATATCTTGTTGGGGAAAAAAAAGAAAAGTATAGGGGTTAGTTGTAATTGTAAGCCAGGGCAATATTAGAATGGTATGTAAGAAATATGAATATATGTGCTGGGTAGCCAGTGACTGAATGTAGTAGACATTTGTTGTTTTTGGCTGCTCAGTACTCCTTCTCTTCTTATAAACAATTCCTCCCATTGAACCCTCAGAATCCTGACCTTTTTTGAAGAACAAGATCCTCTCTCCAAACTGCTCACTCTCAAGTCACCCAAAGGATATGCATTTAATCTAGACTGGGCCAGAGTCCATACTAAAAACTTTTCAAATTGGAGATAGAGATTTGCTCTTTTTTCTTTTTGATTGCAAACATAAGTTTGTAACCCAAGTATGGCTTTAATCAGCCATACTCTCATCATGTTAAAGGGCCATTTGTCAAATGCAGGACCAAAATGGAAATAAGACATGGAAGGATGAAAAGAGAGTCCTATTGCTATTTGAGTCCCCAGATTCTGTCTATAGTCCTGACTTTTAGAGGTTAATAATGTGAGCTGATAAAGTGTTCCATTCTGACTAGGTTAGTCTGAGATGAGTTTGCCACTTGCAACTGACTTAACGCAGAGGATATTTTGTTTGTTTCAAACTATAATAGAATATTTATTTGAAAAACCACAGAGGCAGAAGAAGTAATCCGTATATGAAGTGGGCTTAGGCAACAAATTATAGAGGCAAAGGAAGAGCCCTTGGAGCTTAGAAATCTGGAAGGTCAAGGTGAGGTACCTAGCAGGGAGGGAAGGGGTTGGAGGAAGGGAATGGAGTGGGGTGCGCACCCGGGAAGGAGAGCATCTAATGCAGATAATTTTGACTTATAATACATACAAGGCCCCTTTTTAAGTAGTCAAGATGTTTCTCCACTGCAGTCTGTAAGTAAGAGGGTACTTGAAGAATTTCCTGATGATGATCCATTAAGAATGAAACTAATCTTGCAGCAAGGAGCTCATCAAGATCCACTTCTTCAGCACAGCACAGCACACACCGAGAAAAAGTGTGTATCATCTAAAAACATATTAAGAGATGTGAATTTAAAAACCTAAGGTTTTTATATAAGTTAGAATATCAGTAATTTCTGGGTAGCACATAAGCAGGCTTCAGATTAAAAATGAGAAAAATAATTTTATTAGAAAGGTAAGCATGTCTACTTTTCTTTTAAAGTATTTGTTATGTGTTTCCTTAATATAATTCCATTATGAAAGGCTTAGCTTTTAACTGTCATAATTTTGTCAGCAAACACCATTGGTCTCATTAATACCATATATATATATATATATATATATATATATATATATATATATATATATTTATTTTTTTTTTTTTTTGCTTAAAGACTATTAGAGAGCAATGACTTATTACATTAATCTCACAAAAACACAAACCAGGAGACTATCTATAATAATAAAAGTGTAATATGCAAATTAGACCAGACAACCTTCCAGATGAAGCCAGGGCTGTGAGGGAAGCCTGGGTCCCGGGTGCCAGAAGGAAGCTGCTGCTGGCAGCAGGGGAAGGAAGGCCTATTTTTGCACAAATTTTGTGCATCAGGCCTCTAGTATAACACATAAATGTTAATGGTTACAAAGGGTCTTCAAATTCTGGAATTCATTTTATATTTCAGGGCTCATTTGCTCTCATTCATATTCCTATACTAGGTGTACTGGTTAATAATGTGGATTTTTATCAATAGATGGAGTTAGACTTATGTTGATATATATGCCATTTGATATATATGTTATTTTGACAGCAAATTTCAAAACTTTATATGTTAAATTTGCTTAAGATGTTAACATTATAGTTCTTTTTACGCTTAAAAATGTTGAATTTTGTTTCAATAGAAGAGCATTTGCAGGAAGTATAATTCTCTATTTTGAAGAAAAGTGCTGCTGAAAGTTATCATATACTTCAGAAAGCTTATATTGAACATGCTCCATCTCAAGATACTTGTGAATGCTGGTTTAAACACTTTAAAAATGATGATTTTGATGTGAAAGACAAAGGATGTCCAGGTCAACTGAAAAAGTTTGAAAACCAATAATTACAAGCATTATTGGATGAAGATGAGTGTTAAACTCAAAAACAACCTGCAGAAATATTAAATGTTGCTCAGCAAACAATTTCCAATTGTTTACAAGCAATGGGAAAGATTTCAAAGGAAGAAAAATGGGTGCCACATCAATTGAAGGAAAGACAAATGGAAAACTGAAAAGTCATCAGTAAAATGTTGTTACAACGGCATGAAAGAAAGTCTTTCTTGCATCAAATTGTGACTGGCGATGAAAAGTGGATTTTTTTGAAAATCCCAAATGCACAAAATCATGTGTTGATCCAGGTCAATCATCAACATTAACTGGAAGGCCAAATCGCTTCGGAAAGAAGACAATGCTCTGAGTTTGTTGGGATCAGGAAATTGTGGAGTCTTATGAACTTCTAAAACCTGGTAAAACCATTAATACTGATAGCTAATCTGAACCATGCTTTGATGGTGAAATGACCAGAATGTGCCAGAAGACACAGCAAAGTAATTTTGCTTCATGATGATGCACCATCACACACTTCAAAACGAGTTAAAGACACGTTAAAAAATCTTGCCTGGGTCAGTGGTTAGAGCATTGGCCTGTGGGCTGAAGGGTCCCGGGTTTGATTCCAGTAAAGGGCATATGCCCAGGTGGTAGGCTCAATGCCCAGTAGGGGATGTGCAGAAAGTAGCTGATCAATGATTCTCTCTCATTATTGATATTTCTCTCTCTTTCCCTCTCCCTTCCTCTCTAAAATCAATAAAAATATATATTAAAAAAAAAAAATCTTGCCTGGGAAGTTTTAACCCACCCACCATATTCACCAGACCTTGCTCCTTCAGATTACCACTTGTTCAGATCTATGGCGCACACACTTTCTAAGCAGCACTTCAAAAACGTATAAAGAAGTGGAAAATTTTGTCTCTGAATGCTTTGCCTCAAAACAAGAAAAGTTCTATTGGGACAATATCCACAAATTACCTAAAAGATGGAGATGTGTAGCTAGCAATGGATGTAACTTTGAATAAAGCACTTTTACTGTTTCTCTTGAAATTATTGCTTTTTTTAATTATAAAAATTCGCACTGGAGAACATCATGCTGAGTGAAATAAGCTAGTCAATGAAAAAGAAACACAACATGACCTCACTCATTTATGGATAATAAAGAACATTATAAACAGATGAACCAAAAGATAGATATAGAGACAGTAAAACAACAAGCAGACTGTCAAAATACAGAGGGGAGGGGAGGGAGATATGGGGTAGATAAGAGATCAACCGAAGGATTTTTATGCTTGCATATAAGTATAACCAATGACACAAAACTCTGGGGAGGAAGTGCATATATGAGAGGGGGAGGGGCAATGGTAAGATATGTACACATATAATAATTTAATTAAAAAAAATTAAACATAAATAAATAAAAATCTGCATTATTAACTGGTACACCAAGTAACTCACTAGCTTATATAAGTCACACACGCACACACACTTCATTCTAAAATAATTAGAATATCAGAATTCTGTTTTAAGTATTTTTCACATATTATATGATGAGCATACTGAATTGGAACATTTTTTTTTTTATTCCTGCAGTGTGAGGCAGGTTTCCTTTTTCCTTACAAAGCTTAGCCTTCAGTGTTTTATTCTTTCTCAGCTTTGTAGAGCTCATTTACTCTCATAGCTTCAACTACTATCTTTTCAAAAACTCTGCCTTCTGCCCGGAACTTTCTTAACCAGACTCACATTTCCAACATTCTGTTGGATAAATTTCACTCAGATATCCCATAACCTCACACTCAAAAAGTGTAAAAACAAAATTATCCCCTTCCTACTCATGTCTCTCAAATTATTTTCATAAAACATCTTCTTTCAAAAGGTGGTGCTACAATTTCTCAAGAATAAATCTTCCTCCTTATATTAGGTCTATTATTGTAAAAGAACTGTCCCTAATGAGTGGGAAAATAGAGCTTAGGTCCAAATTCTTTGGTACAAAAACCTCTTATAAATTGAAGCTCCACTGTGAGGAAGAGTTGGGGAGGGGAGGGGAGATAAGGGAAGGGGAGAAGAACGGAGGGAGGAGGGGAGGGCAGAGGGGAGAACTACATTCAGGAGTTTATACTACAACAATATCTGCACATATATACCTCTGCCCTCATCTCATATACTAGTAGAACCTGAGACGGCTACACAGTAGTTTCTTTCAACTCCTTGACCATAATGATGTGCCATTCTAATTCACATAATTTATCAAATACAGCTTACCACAATCTCTGAAACACTTAGACTTTCTATACATGCATTTCCATTAACTTTATGCTTCAGTTAGTGTCCTTAAGTTTCCAACAATACCTACATCTCCTCTTCCTTCCTACCAAACATAATTGACACAAGGAAATATAATATGTACCGACTATGAAGTGATACAGGATGAGTGAGGAGGAAAGATCTTCAGACCAAAGATCAAGATGTGAAAGTGTAACAGATAGGGCACAAAGGGTTAATATGTCAACATTTTATTTCTAGGAAATGTTAGACTTTTAAGAGCATTTCTAACCTAAGAAACTAGGATGTCAAAACCATGACATCACTCAAGTAGTACTTTTAGATGGTCTGGTTTCCTTTTTTGTTTTTTTTTGGTTTATGAACCAGGACTTATTTTTCCTTTTAAAAAAAAAATATATTTTATTGATTTTTTATAGAGAGGAAGAGAGAGGGATGGAGAGTTAGAAACATCGATGAGAGAGAATCATCGATCAGCTGCCTCTTGCACACCCCCCACTTGGGATGTGCCCGCAACCAAGGTATGCTGCCCTTGACTGGAATCGAACCTGGAATCTTTCAGTCTGCAGGCTGACACTCTATCCACTGAGCCAAACTGGTTTCGGCTCTTCTTTCCTTAAGAAATCAACTTACCAGTGATCTTGTACCCATTGCATCATGAAGTTGGGGCATATCAACATTTTGACTCATTCGAGAAATCATGCGCATTAGAAGTTGAAGCTTTCTACGATTTGGTGGAGGAAGTAATAAGCAACATAACTGTAGTGCATTGATGGCAACCCTCTCTAAATGAGGTTGTAGCAAACCTAGAAAGCAAAGTCCCAACCCAGAAAAAAATAATCAGTAACATTAGTTGCTTTCATACTATTAGCATATGGAGTTATTTAAAGGAAGTCAAATAATATTTCAATATTTCATTTCTTTTAACTATTCCTAGAAATTTCCACATTACTCAAAAGCATGATTAAGATTCTCATTAATTTCTTCAGAACTTAATTTTGTCAGAACTTATCCTACAGTTATTACAACTACAGTGAGTCAGAATAAGTGAAATTGAAAAAAAGAAGGTACTTTAGGTAAGTAGTATAAAGTCTTTTAGAGTAAGAAACTTCACTTTTGGAGGGAGAAAAAAAGCAATTTCAGAGAAGAAAAGCCAGGTAAGCAAAAACAGTTAGTAAACACTAAAAGTTAATATTACGTGCAATGAAAGCATCAGCCTTACTTTGTGTGCCAGTCAACATAGAAGAAGCTGAAGGTAAAGAATTTCCTGAAAGTTCTATTGTACTTTTGCAGAGTCTTTTATTGATTGTGGCACTAGACTCTCCATGTTCACTTTCCATAGCCGTTTGCACACTTGTGCTGCCTTGTCGAAGATTTGGTTTCATGATAATTTCAGCCACTGGCATATTGATAGAACTATTCCGCCTCGTACTACTTCTTAAAAGTAAACTCTGAGATCTACAAAGTTGTTTTGACTTGCTTTTCCCATTATATGACTCCTCTTGGTCATGAACAGTCATAGTAGAGGTTCTCTTAAAACCAACACAGAGTGGCTTTTGAATACTTTCCTCTGAATGAAGATTCATTGTGGATTCCTGTGTGATCTCAGACTCTAAAACTTGTCTATTTTGTCCTTCTATGTTCAGAATAGGTTGATGGATGATATTGAAGACCTCTTTATGTGAACTCCCTGGCAAATCTATCATTCCTTCTAAAGAATAGCACCTTGGTTTGATGTTAGAGGATAGAGCATGCATACTACTTAAGCCTATTAAGTTATGACAGCTTCCTCCTATTATGTCATTAGCACTGGCACTTCTGTTTTTTAAATCAACTAACTGCATTTTCTTAACACATTTTTCTTGAAATCCGTGATCGCTTATCTGCAGTCTCTCAGTAGTATTTGATTCTTCTTTGTTTTTGTCTTTACGAAGCAGACTGAGAAGAAGACACTCAGTTGATTTGAAGGAATTCAAACTGTTTAAGTGAAGGATTTTTGAAGACTGTAGATCATCTTGGATTTTATGTATCCCACTGGGTCTATCTGAAAATGTGATGTAGCCACAAACAACTACCAGGAAATGAAACAAAAATTAAGATGCAACTGTATGACAGTGGACAAAAATAAAATAAAAACAACAGTAAAGTTAAAAAAAAACAAGGCATCACTATAGTACATATTGTTAGTATAATACAAATAGCAGTTGAATTCAGAAGCCACTTAAACAGGACACATGCAACATTCAGTTACAAAGTGCAAGACTGACCAGAGGTTTTCAATTTGTGATACCAACAACTAAAATTTATTCCAACAATTAAATTAAATGGATTGAGTCAAATACGTTAAAATATCTGCTCACAGTCTACAAGTATTAGAATGCTCTTAATTATAACTAACATATAGTATAATAAAATATATATTTGATCTTTGTTTCTGGTTCTTGGCAGAGAGCTCCTAAAATCCTTGGAATTTCTGGAGTGAAAGGAATTTCCTGTTATTCATATAAGCCTATTAGAGCAATCTGAGTTTATGCTAATGAGGGCTGGCCTTGTTTAGAAGTTTGGAATCCTCAGCCCTAACTCAGACCTCCCTGAGGGGGTTGGAGAAGTAATATAACCACCAATAACCAATGAATGAATTAATCAATCATGACTATGTAATGAAATCTCAGTAAAAACTCTGAAACAATAAGATTAAGGAAGCTTATGGGCTAGTGAGCACATGGATATGCTTAGGAGGGTGGCACTCCTGGAGAGGGCATGGAGCTCTGCACAGCCCATAACTTACCCTCTCTCCTCCCAATTGGCTCTTTCAGACTTCCATCCTTTATAACACACGGTAATCATTAAGTAAAGCACTTCCCAGAGTTCTGAGTTCCTGTAGTGAATTATTCAACCTGAGGGGTTTCATGCTAACCCCTGAATTGGTAGTTAGCCAGGAGGGGGCGGTGGGGGGAGTGGAGAGTGAGTAAGCCTGAGACCTCATGTGCAGATAGTGCCTGAAGTTAGAGCAGCCTTGTGGAACTCAGCCCTTAATCTGTGGAGTCTACACTAACAATGGGTAGTCTGTATCAGACTTTTTCTTTCACTTGTGGGGTCTTGGCTAGTATCAAAAATAAACTGAACTGTAGGACACCTGAATGATGTAGAGAATTGGTGTTGGATTGATATATCTGAATTATTAGAAAACAACACAATAGAAATCGGTATTCCTGAATTTAAAAATAAGTTATAGCTTGCTGCCTTCATATTTACCTATACTATACTTTTTTTGATATTTCAAATTATGGGAGATTTGAAAACTTTAATGAAATAAATTTAAACAATAAGTAAATTCCATACATACCCAAAATGTTCACAAATAATTCATAATATTCAAAGGTAAGTAGAGGTTCGGGGAGATCTAGAAAATAATCTGCAATTGTTCTAAATACATCTCGTTCAAATCCAACATAAGTTGGATTAGTCATATCATTACTTCTTGGCCCTAAGAAAAGGCAAAAAAAAATATGAGTAATATTTATTATAATATTTTTAAATATACTTATAAAATATGAAACCTGTATTTCATGAAGAAACTATGTTTAATAATAAATTATGTCATAGTTCAAACATTTTAAGGGTTGTGCACATCTCCTTCCCTCTCATTGTCTTTTTAGCAGAAGTTACTGCAATTATTACCATTTAAAAAAATATCTATAAGACTGGAAAACTGCATATAAAGCAAAATTGAAAATAATTTTAAAAGCATTAGGGAAGTTTATTTTAATAAAATTTTACTACAATTCATTTTAAAAAACAAAGAATATTTGGATACTGCATATAATTTCTATAAATTGTCTTTGCAAATTTATATTTTCATGAATAAATTTTGCCTGACATGAAACATAACCTTAACAAGTTTAAACAATATATTTACATTTGTTTCATTAGTTAAACGTTATTTAAATAAGCATGCCTACTCAGAGTGTTTTCCTCAGAAATAAAATCTTATCTCATGTAATAGATGAGGAGAATGAATCTCAGAGTAACTTGATCCAGATGAAAGAGCCATTGGTGGCCAAGCTAGAATTAGACCTTAGAGCAAGCATGTCAAACTTGCCCACAGGCTGCCTGCGGCCCACAACGAATATTTTTGTGGCCTAGCCAATACAATATTATGTAAGAAACTTTTCACTATATATTTTGTAACTTAATTTTTACAATATTCTGTTGTACATAATTAATAGTCACGAACTACAATGTTTGTTAATTACTACAATAGTGTTGCATTCATTTCATTTATGCGCACGTGCACCATTTCTCTCCAGTAATACTAGCAGCGAATATTTTAGCAGCCGATTGCCACGTCATTAGTGTTGGACTGACTGACTTAGTGTATGCAACAGGAAATATTTCACTTTCGGAGAACAAGAAAAATAGGTTTATTTGCATTACGCTTATTATTCAGTGTCTAGTAAGTTAATGCTCAAGAAAAAATATCAATTTTTATTAAAATTTCCTATTATTTTATGTTAATGATCGCTCATTTTTTCCAGCCGATTGTATTCAGCATGTCTCTATAGAAATAAACCTACATTTCTATGAAAATTAAAACTTGTTTTTTTGTGGCCCACATAAACTTAAATCTTGTTTATTTGGCCCATGTTAGCCTTTAAGTTTGACATGCTTGCCTTCGAGTAATGTAAAATGAAAGCAGCATCCAGGACCTTGAGATCCAACATTCCAAGTGTGGTCCATGAACTATATAATGAGAATCATCCAATGTGCCCATTAAAAATATAAACTCCTCTATACAGATGAGAATCTATGGAGGTAGAGCTTAGAATTACTGACCTAGAAATGTTTGCTTCTGCGTTACTAATCTACCTGTAGTAGTTTCTAAACACTGATCTGAGCTTCCCCTAAGGATCTGGAGGCATAGTTAAAAAATAAAAAGATTCCAAACAGGTTGAATCAACTGAATCAGAATCTTTGGCAAATTTTCCCTAGTGAATGTGATATACATTCAAGTTTGAGAGTGGGCATGCTATCTTCTTACAAGTTAAAATCCTTCTCTTCCCAAATCCAAATTACTTCTTATTCTAATCCTAAACTTTTGTATGGCTCCACATGTGTGAGTATATACACTAAAAAGAGATTAGAAAAAACAAATCATATATTACACACACATTTAATAACATAAAGGCTAATACGGGTTTTATGTAGAACAAAATCTTTTTCTAAGGAGGATATAAAAATATTCTTAATATGTAGAATAAAAAGTTAATAAGCAACAGAAAATTTTCTAAGATGAAATATTTTACTGGAATTAAAACTATACAATTTATAGTTAGAGAATCTATGCATTAGAAAACTTTTATAACCCTTAGTTTTCTTTCTAGAAAAAAAAATGTAATAGTATACTGACCACTAATTCCTATATGTGACAGGATAACTGAGGGGGATTAAATAACAAGTAAAAGTCTTAATACTTGGCTACATATACTATCATTAAAGTGGAATTCAGTAAATTACATTTTTGGTATCATTTAGGTATAAATGGACTGGGAAGAAAGGGAAGACACAAAACTCTCAAGATCTGACCTGCAAACCATGAGCCAAGTTATGAGAGTGGAGGGCAGTGAGGTAGGGGGAAAGTAGAAAGGAAAACTCAAACATATATTATTTACTTCATCGTTCTGTTATTTTGTCATATTGACACCCAGTGGACAATAAGGGAATATATACTTATATTGAACCTTAATAAAATAATAATTTTATAAAGACTAGAAAAATACCTTTGTAACAAGAAATTAAAATATAACTTAACTTTTGATGATTTAGACTCACACACCTCTGTAAATTTTTAAAATTGCTCTTGAAAGCAATTAGGGTTTCGTACCTGATTGGAATCTTAAATTATAAAAATCAGTTATCACTGATCACTGTGAAAAAGCTTGATGACACGTTAAAAATGATTTGCTGCCCAAACCAGTTTGGCTCAGTTGATAGTGCGTCGGCCTGAAAGGTCCCGGGTTTGATTCAGGTAAAGGGCATATACTTTGGTAGCGGGCACATCTACAAAAACACCATGTGCTGATTGATGACTCTCATCGATGTTTCTAACTCTCTACTCTGTATCTCTCTCCCTTCCTCTCTGTAAAAAATCAACAGAAATATATTTTAAAAAAATGATTTGCTGATTAGTAACAGGTCTTTTTTTCACAAAGTCCCATTAGTATATCCTGGCAATTTTCAACCTGTTTCATCTACACATAAACTAATCATTAAAATTCTGCCGCACACCATAAACTTTTTGCTGAACTCACAAAAAAATATAGGTATACTTTTGATTGACTTACAAAGAAAAATAATAATAATTACCAATCCTTTTTGTTCCAAAGTAACTTTTTTTTCTTTTTCTCAAAGTAACTTTAAAAAAAATTAAGTATATAAATATTTCTGATACCAAGAATTAACCAATCAGACACAACCTTATTATGAGATGTGTCCAATAAGATTCAACACTACTACATTTATGGTCCAAGAGAGGGCATTCACATCAAATGGCTATTCCTCTGTTCACTATTATCATTTTTTTATTTGACAATTTAAGGGCAAAGAGGTCAGTGTCCCTGACAAAATAATCAGGTATTGCATGTTTTAAAAATTCTTGCAGTATACCTGTTGACTATCCCTGGTATATCCTGTAGAGTAGAAGCTTGTTTATGGAACACCTGAATGTTAAAGCTGTGTACAATGGCAAGGGGTTTGAAGTGGATTTAATAAGACTTCATTTCTGATTGAAACTTTCCATTTATAAGCTGCTTTACTTACAAGTTGCTATTTGAACTCTGGTTCTTACTGAGACAACTGATGTAGATTATACCAAAAAATCATTTGAGATCTTCTAGCCTATGACTTTATAATTTATGAAAATTGAGCCATAAATTATGAGCTTGAATTATAAAACACCATGTGCAAAGAAAAAATTAAGGGTTCTATAACATACTTCATATGGAAAGAAATGTAACCAGTTCTACTAGATTTTCATTTAAACATCAAAATAAATTATATGCTTTAATTTTATCAGAAATTTAATACATTATTTAAAAATATTTTTCTGTTTTTATTCAATACTATCAATATATAATATACATATATATATTTAACTTACAATTTGCTAGGCACTTCATGGCAGATAATACCCAATGAGGAAGATCATCTACACATAAAAAAATATAAACATTGTTTAGTTAATTCACAACGTTTTTGATAGTATATTTAAAACTTAATACTTCCCCTCAAATCAAGGATTAATTATTTTATAGGAGGTGGTTAGAAAATAAATTAACATTAATCTCTACCCATTACCACCATTTTTTCTTTATCCTCATTTTTGATCTGACTATAGCTATATTGTATTAATAATACTGATTGGAGAGACCTATAATTGAAACAAGGTATATTTGAATATTAGTGTGCTTTCACAGTGAGGCATGCTTCAAATCTTTTCATTGTCACTAATTGAAATATGTTGCATAAAATCTAGCAGTTTTTTTTTAATACAAACTGTTATTACAAATACTTAACTTGAAAAGTTTATAGTTATAAAGAATAGAAAGCTTGGACGAGAACATATACTGTTACTTTACAGAATGAACCATTGGAATGATTCAAAGCCAAATGAATAACTCTTAAGTTTTGACATTTACTATTAGCTCCTACAATTAAAATCTCAAAGTTCTTGCATACAAAAAGAAACTCAAAGTAATGGCATTTCAATTAATTCCATAGATAGCAACTGATTATTAAAAAATTACTCAAGCCCTGGCTGGTTGGCTCAGTTGATTGGAACACCATCCTGTGCACCAGAAGATCACAGGTTTGATTCCCCGATAATGGCACATACCTAAGTTTGGGGTTTGATTCCACATGAGGGTGCATATGGAAGGCAACTGATTGATGTTTCTCTCTCCTTCTCCTTTCCTCTCTCTCTAAAATCAATAAACATATCTTCCAATGAGGATAAAAAATAAAAAAAAGACATTTTTGATATATATTTGTTTTCTAACGTCTCTGCCTTGAATTATCTCCCTGATTTCCCTATATCTTAAATCAATATATAAATATATATAATACCATAAAAATATACATAATACAAAGCCAGAGCTTCTTTAGAGTACTGGTGTTGAGAGATTGGGCTTATTTTATTGTGTTACTTCAGTTTTGTATGTCTTGACCCTTTTAACTTTATATGCTCATGTAAGCTCCAGGAAGGCATGGCCATTTCCCTCTTGTTCATCATTAAATCTTGGGGACAATGCCTGGCCCATTATACGTCTTCAGTAAAATATGACTAATAAATGATTTTAATTATATTTGTACTAGAGGCCTGCTGCATAGATTTGTGCACTAGTCTGCACCCTCTTGCAATCCAGGACCCCTAGAGGATGTCAGAGAGCTGGTTTTGGCTCCATCCCCATAGGCCCAATCGAGGCAGGAGGGAGCCCAATTGTGTGTGTTGAGCATCTGTCCCCTGGTGGTCAGTGCTCATCATAGTGACTGCCTGACGGGTTGTTCGATCATTTAGGCATACACACACACACACACACACACACACACACACACACACCATTTTTTGGATGTTTAACTGTGCCATTAAAAAAAAATCATGAATCTATCCTAAGCTAAAATAATATTATATGATATTCACTTAAAAAGTATTCCATTGTGCTGAAACCGGTTTGGCTCAGTGGTAGAGCGTCGGTCTGCGGACTGAAAGGTCCCAGGTTCGATTCCAGTCAAGGGCATGTACATTGGTTGCAGGCACATCCCCCGTAGGGGGTGTGCAAGAGGCAGCTGGTCGATATTTCTCTCTCATCGATGTTTCTAGCTTTCTATCTCTCTACCTTCCTCTCTGTAAAAAATCAATAAAATATATATAAAAAAAAAAAAAGTATTCCATTGTGATTGTTAAAGCACCCATGATAAAGCAATAGTGTCCCTGATGCTCTTTCAATTAAACTATTCTGCCTCCTACATTGTGGTCTCTGTGCACCCCCACAATAGCTATCACCTTTGTTTGCAAGTTTAAAAAGAATCCAACTTCTTTTATTGATACGAACCTGACTTGTCTTGTAGTACAACTACTCCATGTTTACTTGTATTGGTCATGTTGTACATTATATATTGAGGAATTACTTGTTTTGGGTTTATGACTTCTTCTAGGGATGACACCCCTAAAATGGTTTGCAGGCTAAATAGAAGAAAGAACATAAACATTTTTTTTCTCCATAAAATAAGTACAATAGAATATAAAAATGAAAGAGTTTGGCAAACAAAGCCCTCAGAGTATACTGTTTTTGTTTTTCCTGAAACCAAACTTTGAAGGCTTATATTTAGTATCTAATTTTAAAAACATTTATTTTTATAACTTTTTAAGGATTCCAATATAGACTCCAATATACAGCTACAATTAAAAAACAACACACCAAATCATACTGAAAACATTCTATTTCTACTATACTAGAATTACAGCAAAAAAAAAAAAAAACACCAAAAAAAAAAAAAAAACACAAACAAAAAAAACTAAACACATATACAAGGTAAGTTCTAAGCTTTAAGAACTAAACTGCTCTTTTGCATTAGCATACATTGATGAAAAAATGAAAATGAAAATTCTAAACATCTGTGGAACTTGGTTTATATTAGCTTACTAGTTCAGAATAATGTATCTCCAAACTTCTTCAATATCTTTCTGGCTAATTTCTCTATTATCAACTGAGTTTTCTTGATCTTCATTGATTATGTCACAGTTCATGTTTTCAGTATTTTCCTGAAAAGAGAATTACTTTGGGTTAATATGTTATGCTCAAATTATGGATATCTTGAACTAATACCACTCCATGAGGATTTATAAGTATTACCTGATGAAATAATGTAACATAAAGCTTTTGATTTTTCAGTTGAGCAAATCACCCTCAAATAAATTTAAAATAAAACATGCTTAAATCATACAACTACTATTTCAAGTATATCTCAATACCAGTTTTTATTACTGTTTCTATTAGTTCCATATATTTTTAAAGTATAATGAAAGTTAAGAGTGTCAAATACTGGCTACAAATATTAAAAAATCATTTACTTAAAAAAAAATATATTTTATTGACTTTTTATAGAGAGGAAGGGAGAGAGGTAGAGAGCTTGAAATGTCGATGAGAGAGAAACATCAACCAGCTGCCTCTTGCACACCCCCTACCGGGGATATGCCTGCAACCAAGGTACATGCCTTCACCGGAATCGAACCTGGGACCTTTCAGTCCACAGACCGACGCTCTACCACTGAGCCAAACCGGTTTCGGCAAAATCATTTACTTTTAATGATTCCATTATTAAGCACATAGTAGTTATATTAAAACTAGTGATTAGTAAAAAGGATGGTTTACCTGAGAGAATTGTAATCCATGCTTTTTAGGAGTTCTACGAGATAAGTTTCGTAATTTAAAAATACTGTCTTTATCTTTGGAAAAGTTCTCTATGCTGTTTTTTCTCAATTCTGGATGCCTTCGTGGAAGAGCTTTAAGTGGAGAATTTGCAGGAAATCTGATTTAAGAACAATAAGCAAATTAAATAATGTAGATCAGAAACAACTTACTGCTTATTTATCTTAAAAATCATATAGAAACTGATTTACATTATCAAGGGAAAAAAAGTCTACATAGATTTTCCCATTAAACCTTCACAGTTACTTTAATATTTTCCTGCTTCTTTAGTACACTGGCTATTTTGTTTATTTCTGGATAATTCAAGGTTATTATTAAATCAATTATGTTGAGGAGGTATCATTTACATATAAAACAATTTAGAATGTTACATTTTCTAATATTTTCCCCAAGTTATCTAATTTGTATATAGTTTCTGCCCTTTGTAATTGGTCTAATTTCCAGAAGTTGGTCTCTGTTACTTTTTAAAAAATGTTTTTATTGATTTCATAGAGAGATGAAGGGAAAGATAGAAACATCAGTGAGAAAGAAACATTGATTGGCTTCCTCCTGCACACCTCCTACTGGGGATTGTACCCAAAACCTGGGCATGTGACCCCACTGGGAAATGAACTGGAGACTTTTTGGCTCATGGGTTGACACTCAACCACACCAGCCAGGCCACTTTTTTATTTTATTTTATTATATAGCTTTTTCCTTTCATGTTAATATAAATACTTCAAAGATACTATATATATGTGTGTGTGTGTGTGTGTGTGTGTGTGTGTGTGTGTGTAAAAACATCTATGTATGTATAAAACATCTATGTATGTAACCATCAACCAATGCAATTAACATTTAACCAAATACTTCATTAAGTGTTTTTTTTAATCCTCACTTGAGGATATTTTTTCTATTGCTTTTTAGAGAGTAGAAGGTAGAACGGATGGAGGGAGAGGGAAAAGGAGAAATATGACTTGAGAGAGACGTGACTGGTTGTCTCCTTAACAGGGGCAGGGAGTGAACCTGAAGTCTAGGTACTTGCCCTTGACGGGAATCAAATGCACAACCTTTAGGTGCATGGGCCCATGCTCTAACCATTTAGCAACACCAGCCAGGACATGTTTTTTTTTTTTTTTTTTAATTAAAGAAATTATTTTACTCTATATTTCTCTTCCTAAGGGAAATCATTAACCTATAGTTAGTATATTTCTTTCTTGTTTATGTTTTTATACTTTTAATAAACATACAAAACCAGTATATGGTTTGGTATTTTTTCATTCAGTGGTATCTTTAGTCATACATTTAATTTATGCATAAGTTTTTAAGTCACCTTAAAAGTTCTTTCTTATTCCTCCATCCTAAAATGTTTTCTTATATTATCTCACTAGAGTTGTATTTTCACATATAGTTATTTAATTCATATATGTTATTCCAGTTCTCATAAAGGTATGGGTTTGTATTCTCAGTTCTTAATTGTTTTAATTTAAGCCCAGATACCAGGTTAAGACAATTTTTCCTTCCTTGTTTTTCAAAATTGCCTTGGACCTTTACATTGTTAAATAAACTTTAGGATCTGCTTGTCAAATTCAACAAAAACAATTATCTGGAGGTCTTGAATAAAAATGCCCTGAATTTATCAATTTATGAAAAAGCAGGTCTTCTCATTCATGAAGAGGACATCCTTTTCCATTTATTATCTTCAATTTTATAATTTCTCCCAGGAAGATCTTATACATTTTTGGAAAACTTTATTATATACTTTGTAGTTGCTATTGTAAAATACTAAGGCAGAGGGTCTAGTTGAAGAGTTAAGTAGAATTCCAGTTAAGAGAGAATAATGGTCTAACAAAAAGAACATTCTTAGTGGAGAGAAAAGTGGACAGAAAAGAGAACTACTGAGGCAGCACAGTAGAAATCATTTTATAATTAAATCATATTTAAAGCGGAGAAGAAAGGGAGTCAGGTATCTATAGGGAAGATAGTGCCATCCTTTCAGATATAAATATAAAAAATTTAATATTTTGAGGTGATAGTGATTTTCTATTTGCTATATTTGAAGTGACTAATAGGGGGAAAAAAGGCTAAAACTCAGAAGAGATATTTTGGTTGGAGTTTTGCGAGTAAAGTAGGTGAAGGCATAGCATAAAATTACCCAGGGAGAGAGGTGAAGAAAAGTTGAGTTCCTTCAAACCAGTAACAACTAAAGGATGAACAGCAGCAGCAAAGGAGCCCACCAAGGTGACTAAGGTGTACTGGAGAAGAGGGCTAGAGTTACACAAAATGAACTGTTCATATGCCCCTCATTGCAGTTTATTTGTACAGCGTAAGTCATCTTTGATCACATAGGCAAGAAGCCATTTCTAAGATATTTCATTTGAAAAGTACCAATTCTGCAGAGAAAAAAGCAAACAAAATCAAAACACGTGGATATTAGACTCCAGGGACCTAATTTAAGGGAAATATAACAAAGAATCCTGGGTGCATGAGAGAAAAAGCAATTATGTGGCCCAAAAGACTAGGCAAGGCTCCACGGAAACAGGCTACAATAGAGCTGACATGAGAAATGTATTTAAGTAGTTTGATAGATGGGTGCAGTGTTTCAAGGTGGAGGAACATAGTCAGACAGAGGAACATGATTTGTTACAGCATGGCCTCAGCTTCCGCATCTGTAAAAAGGAGCTAACACCTACCATTCTTAACTATTACAGTGATTAAGTAAGAAAACATGTAAGCCATAAAGCAGGTCTCTGATACACAATAGATACTTAATTATTCTCTTTAACAGTGGTATATTTCTTCTGTTATTTATTAAAGTTTGCTAATATTTATCTTATCACATGCATTCTTAAGTTATATAAGATCATGGCACTTGAAGGCAAGGACCTGTGACAATTTGTCTTGTAATTCTGAAATCTATGGAGTTAAAGGTTAATAATGATCTGTCCTTGAAATGGTATAGAGCTTTCAGAAGTGCTAATATTTCACTTTCCTCCCAATTCCCTATTTTATTATATATGCTATCTAACATTTTAAAAGTTTGAATTGTGCAGCAATTAACTTTAACTTCTAAATGGTCTTAATCACTAGTAGACTATGCACAGTTCTCTACAGAAATTATAATTACTTCTAAAGAAGCCGCTGTTTTAATAAATGTATGCTAAATGTGGAGTTAAACTTTAAGTAATTCAGTTTTCCAGTTATTTCTTTATTCAGTACCTGAATAGCTGATTGTTGTCATAAAGATTTTCCGATCCCCATTTCCCTTTGATATCTTCAATTACATGATTCTTAAGAAATTTTCTCAGTAGTTGGATAGTCTGTTGCCTTGTTACTTCAGGACCAAAATTATTATTATTTCTTAATAGGTCATAAAGCCAATCCACTGCTTCTGCTGCTGTGAAACAATTACCATATTTTTTAAAGTGTTGCCTGTGTTTTCTTAGAGGCATTCCTGCTCGAAAAGATGTGGTAACTTCATTCCACTGCAAAAGAAGTAAAATATTTTAAAAAATTAACAAAAAGGAAATCTCTTACTGACTTAAAATAAATTAGACAAAGGAAATTCTTTCATTAACATCTGATTACATCATAAAATTTCATGAAGAAATTATTCACCTTATTGGTGCTATAGAAAATTTGATACCACATACAGATTTATCTTAATTAATCCTACTGTTGTGATAATATTTTCATATGTTTTTTGAATAAAAGCGCTTCATTGGCTGGTTGGCTTATTTAGGAAATCTAGGAATAATGAAGAGCTGCAATGAACCCGTCCTTTAGTCCTCAATAGAGGATTTGAAGATTTATTCCTGTGGGTTTTTTTTGTTTTGTTTTGTTTTTAAATCTTCAATTAGCCAAAACCAGTTTGGCTCAGTGGATAGAGCATTGGCCTTTGGTCTGAAGGGTCCCGGGTTCGATTCCGGTCAAGGGCATGTACGTTGGTTGCAGGCACATCCCCAGTGGAGGGGGTGCAGGATGCAGCTGATCGATGTTCTCTCTCATTGATATTTATTTTTTTTAATGTATTTTTATTGATTTTTTACAGAGAGGAAGGGAGAGAGATTGAGAGCTAGAAACGTTGATGAGAGAGAAACATCAACCAGCTGCCTCCTGCACACCCCCTACTGGGGATATGCCCACAACCAACGTACATGCCCTTGACCGGAATAGAACCTGGGATCTTTAAGTCCGCAGACTGAAGCTCTACCACTGAGCCAAACTGGTTTCGACTCTCTCATTGACGTTTCTAACTCTCTATCCCTCTCCCTTCCTCTCTGTAAAAAAATCAATAAAATATATTTTTAAAAAATCTTCAATTAATATTAATAGTATGGTGGTAGCATTTGTGTTGGACACGATGCTTTACATTAAGCATTTCACTTTAATTCTTGCAAATCTATGAACATTATTTTCCCAATTTTAGATGAGAAGTACAGAGAGATTTAATAATTTGACCAATGTCACACAGCTCAGTGATGAACCCAGATATTCTAACCCAGGTTTGATTGACTCTAGCACCTGAACTTGTAACTACTACTATGTTGGCCACAAACAGAACTCACGACAGGCAATAGTTTAACAGTAAAACACCTTTAATATTAAAATAGCTTATACAGTACATTTATATTATCTCTTATGTGAAGATTTCAATATTGAACATGAAACAGATAGGGTTGAATTAAGTAAATTTTAAGTCCATTGTGTATTTAATGACACTGTGACATATCTACATTTTTAAAAGACACATTTTCCCATTTGTCCTCAAATCACTCAAACTTTTAAATTTGTGACACCGCTAAGGTGGGGCATGAACGTGGTGATGGTGTGGACACACACTTTAAAAAAAATATTTTATTGATTTTTTTTCTTTTTTTCTTTTACAGAGAGGAAGGGAGAGGGAAAGAGAGCTAGAAACATAGATGAGAGAAACATTGATCAGCTGCCTCTTGCACACTCACTACTGGAGATGTGTCCACAACCAAGGTACATGCCCTTGACTGGATTCAAACCTGGGACCCTTCAGTCCGCAGGCTGACACTCTAGCAAAACTCGTTAGGGCGACACACTTTTTATTTAGTAAACAATTTTACAGAGGTCCAGAAATCTTATCTGTAAGCCCAGCCTAGCCACTGCTCCCTGTGTGACCCTGTCTCTAACCTATGCGGCCCCAGCATCCCATCGCCAAGTCTCACCGCTGAAAACACAAGGCCGGCATCCTTCTCTTCTTCCCACACCCCCACACGTCACTTAAGTCTCCAACGCACAGCCACGAGCTGCAACCGACCCTCTCGGTAAGCTGTTTCTTATCCTACACATCAGCACACACTTCCACAGACCTGTCCTCTCCAGAAATAGCTCAGGGTGGACCTGTATCATCAGCCCCACGTCCCCGGGAAACCGAGGCTGCAGAAGTCAGGGGACTCTCCTCCTTCACACCCCCAGGGGCGGGCGCAAACCCAGCGGCGCACCCGCTGCGCTCTATGGCACCTCGCACACCCCCGGTCTGCCGGTGTGGACGGGGCCAGCTGTGACCCACTGGCATCCGGCTGGTCCGTCCAGCATTCAGTTCTGCAGAGCCAGCCACAGGCGCGGCGGGGTTCGGGCCGGCGCCCAGTCGGACCCGCAGAGAATTCTCCGCGGAGCCCGCGGACCTGGGAAACCAGGCGCGGGGAGCGGCGGCGCTCGGACCCAGGGCCGCCCTCAGCGCCCGGCCCGGAGCCCCTACCGAGGCGGGAGTCGGCTGCGCCTTCGCGGGGTGCTCGGGGCACCGGAGGGGGGCAGACTCGCCCCGCAGCGGTTCCGCGATCCCCCTTAATGCTTTTTTTTTTTTTTTTTTCAATCTCCTGCCAGCGCACCCAGCGGCTCTGGGCGCCATCCCTCCGCCAAGGTAAAACTAGGAGCACGCTCCCGGACGGGCTATGCTTACCAGCTTGGTGGCCCGGTAAGGCCCCGGAGGCACACTCGGATTCTCCATGCCTCCCGCCCTCCGGCCCGGGCTCGGTCAGCGCGGGGCGCGGCGCATGGCGGAGGAAGGTGGTCCAGCGACGGTGTAGCCGGGACACCCGCGGGCCGCGCCGCCGATTTGAATAACGCAGGCGCTGCGCGGATTGGCTGCGCCGCCGGTCACGTGACGCGCCGCGGACCGGGCGCCGCGGGCGTGGGCGGCGGAGGCTTTGGGACCTGGGGCGGCGCGGCTGCCTGGTGCCTGGTACTGACCGCTCTGCTGCGGGCGGGCTGGGCGGGGGGACGGCTTCCCCGCCTCACCTGCCCTCCTTGGAGCTGTTTCCTTCTCCCGCTCCAGGTCCTGGGCGAGGCGGAGTCTACTGCCCACACTCAGGAAGGGTGAGGCGGGTTTCCTCCCAGATCAGATTGTTTGAAGCCCAACCTTTGGTGTAAGGGAATTTGAAGATGGAAAAGAAAAAGCAAACCCTGGCTGTTCAAGGAATCTTGAGTCGTGGTTCACATGCAAAAACAACGCCGCATCCCAGAGGCATAGTTTTCACCCGATAGATAAAACCTCTTGGTTTTGCTTCTAAAAAAGCTCCTGTGGTATTTGTTGCAATACCTTCACCCTGGTACCTAAGCAAGTGCCACAATTCCATTCTCCCCAGGGGTAAAATGTAGGTTTACACCTTTGCTCCCATTATTTGGTGCATGAGGCAACTTTCATAAGTACACACAGGACTTTGGGAAAGTTATGTGAAACTTACCAAATTGCTTCCCCTAAGAAAATCTACTTACCACCTATAATAATCTATAATAATAAAAGCATACTATGCTAATTAAACTGGACATCCTTTGGGAGGAAGCCTGGTCTGCGAGGGAAGCCCAGGTCCCAAGTGTCAGAGGGAAGCTGGTGCCTGCAAGGAAGGGAGGAGTGAGGGGGTGGGGGGGAAGAAGGCCTACTCTTGCATGAATTTTGTGCATCGCGACTCTAGTCTTTTTCTATCTATATAAAAGGCTAATATACTAAGTGTCCCTCCCTCCTTCCAGGTAATGACATCACATAGCAACGCCTGGCTTCCTCTCCTCAGCCACAACTAGTCTCCTTGCAGTTTCTTCAGCCCAGGAACTCAACTTGCTTTATAGCCAGGTAGAAACACTTCATACTATAACCAAATGTCTGTGAATCATTTCCCCCAGCTTCTTCTCATTTGATCCGCACAGAAGTCCTGGAGTAGGTAGGTAGGAGACTCGGTAGAATCCCATTTTCTTTTCATTAGCTGGAATATTGAGAGTTAGAAAACTTAAAACTTGACCTGACTGAAAAGAAGAAATGGTGGACCTTGAAAGTAACTTCAGGCTTTCTCACTGTGTAGAATATATTTTCCTTTTGTTGTGATCTACAATCATAATGTGCTTTGTGTTGATATTTACTGCTGTGTTTCTGACAATTATCTGAAAGAGAAGTTGGGGTACTTCACTGGGCTGGAAAAAGTGTCTTCCTCTATTTCTTTTTTTAGTGTTCTATAGTTTTCTGGGTACAGATCTTTTTCCTCATTGGTTAAGTTAATTGCAAGGTATCTTAATTTTTTTGTTGCAGTGATAAATGGAATTACTTTTTAAGGTTCTCTTTCTGAGAGTTCATTATTGGTATATAGAAATGCCACCGATTTCTGGAAGTTAAATTTGTATCCTGCTACATTGCCAAATTCATTTATTAAATCTGGCTTTTGGTGGAGGGTTTCTATGTACAATATCATGTCATCTGTGAATAATGACAGTTTTACTTCTTCCTTTTGAATTTGGATGCCTTTTATGTTTTCTTTGTGTCTGATGGCTGTGGCTAGAACTTCTAGTACTTTGTTGAACAAAAGTGGGGAAAGTGGACCATCCTGTCTTGTTCCTGTTCTTAGGGGAAAGGATTTTAGTTTCTGACCGTTGAGTATGATGTGGGCTGTAGGTTTGACAGATATGTTCTTTATTATGTTGTATGATCCTGTATTCTCACTTTGCTGAGAGTGGTACATTTATACAGTGGAATACAATGTAGCTGTAAAAGGTAGGATCTCTTACCCTTTGAAATAATGTGGAGAGCATTATGCAAAGTGAAATAAGCCAGTCAGAGAAAGACAAGTATCACATGATCTCACTCATATGTGGGATCTAGTGAACAAAATAACCTGACAAACAAAATAGATCCAGGGACATGGAAGCATGCAACAGACTGAAGATTCTCAGAGGGAAGGGGTAGGGGACTAGAAGAGATAACAAAAGAACTAATATTCATATATATGGGTAACCTCTGGATAAAGACAATAATGTGGTGAAGGTCTGGGAGGAGGCAGGAGTAGGTCAATGGGTGGTAAAAAAAAGGGGGGGCATCTGTAATACTTAGAACAATAAAAAAAAGAATCTTGGATATGTTTAGATTATGGTTATACATTTATGGGATTTTAGAAATCTGCAGTAAATCTCATTTCTCAAATGACAAAAACTAAGATGCAAGCGTTAAAGGTCTTGTCCAAAGTCTTGGGTTGGCAGATTCTTAGAAGTAATTTTATTTCTCTCAGCAAATTTTTAGGAGTCACTTTATTCTCTTTTTCCACATTCTTGGAGTATTTGTTCTACATCAGATTTCTCAGATGGGTTATAGACCACCTGCATTAGAGTCACCTGATATACTTGTTAAAAATGCTGATTGCTTGGGTTCCCCAAACAATTTAGGGGGAGTGTGTATGTGTGTGTGTGTGTGTGTGTGTGTGTGTGTGTGTGTGTGTCTGGAGGGGCATGGCAGCATGTGTACACAGTATATTATTGGTGGAAAAGGCTGGGTCTCTGAAGACTTTGTGGAGTAGAGCTTTTAAAATGCCATGGACTGCTTGCCATGGACTTTTATAAGAGAAAAATATGAGCCTGTTAATTTACTCTTACAGTTGAGCCTAATCCTAATTAACAGAATGATTGTCACAAAATGCAATGCAATGCATGATTCATCTCTTAAATACGATGAAACAATTTTTTTTTCTACCTAGATAGAGATTGTCTATCTCAGGAAGCTTTTTCCTCTCTGCCCATTCACTTATTCCCACTAGAATGCAAGTTTCATGGCAGAGGCTGTATCTATAAGTTGGTCTCCTATCTCTAGCTGCTTAACAGCATGTGGTAGGAATCTAATAAATAGTTGGTGAATTGTTAAGTTTTTTTTTTTCTAATCACTAAAAAGAAAGCTTATATGTGGGTGATACAATCTAATTATTTTTCTTCCTCAGAAACATTTTATGGCCTTTCTGCATGTATATAAGACTTACTTATCCTTGAAGTTCAGTCGTTCTACCACGTTGTGCCTAGTTATTAGTCTTATTTCATGAATCTTGACTACTATTTGGTCTGAGAAAATTACTCCTTTTAAATTCTCCAGGCTGCTGTTTTCCTCCTTTCTTTAGAAGCTCTTTTTATTATTTGACCTCCTGGATCTATCTTATTTTTTAATGTTCTTCTATAATTTTCTTTTCTCTGTTTTCTTTCTTTCAAATTTCTGGGAGTATTCTTGCAACTTACCTTTAAACTCATTGGTTTAATTTCCGTTACTCACTTTATGTTTTATAGAAATTCACTACAAAGTGCTCAAAAAGGACCCTCTTTTTGAACTCCTGATTTTTTTTTTATTGTGTGCACTGATTGTCTTTAATTTATGTATCCTTATAAGAAACTTAAAATTTTTACCATGAGTAACTGAACTGAATCCCAGTAAAGACTGAGTAAGTCCATGCATATATTCTTAAAATAACTACTTTTTACTTTTCCCAGATCCTGAATTCTTAATTATGTAGACAGCTGCTATGGTTTAGAGTTAGAAGTGTAGTTTACATCCATTGTTTTGTATGATAATTGACTCATTTCTTTAGGGAATACAGACCTCCTCATTTGGATAACTGCTTCTCCTACTATAGCGTGCACTCGAAATGGACTTTTCCATCTTCCTTGTTCCCAGGAATGAACACAGTAATCAGTTGCTGAATTACAGCATCTGCTCCCTTGACTCATTGAGGTCGTCCCATGGCCAAGATGAGTCAAACAGAGTCCTTTGAGATCTCTCTCTCTCTTTCTCTTACGCCCCCTTCCCCCAAACAAAACAAAACAAAAACAAACAACAACAACAACAACAAAAAAAAACTGGGTCAAGAGGAACAAGCCTTCTCTTTCTGGTGATTAAAGTGAGAAGATATGAGCCACAGCCAGTGGTGTCTATAGTTACAGCTGAATGGAGACTTCTAGTTTGGTAAAATGCATTGATGCCTAACAGAAAGAAATAAGAGAAAGGACTAATTTTAGTTTTTCTAAGGATCCCTAGAATTTAATATATATTTGTACATATATTTATATATATATATAATTTTTGTTTGTTTAGATTTTTGTCACCATCCAAAGACCTCCAGGAAAAGAGAATTTTTAAGAATATAAATGACAATGATATATCTCAGGGAGGATGCTATTAACTCCTTGGTAATGTTTTATCATTGTAATAGAGTCCCATCCTATCTAACAAAAGAGTAATATGCAAATTGACCATATCTCCGCCACACCCACTGGCCATGCCCACCAGCCAATCAGAGCCAGTATGCAAATAAATCCAACCAAGATTACTACAGCCACAGAGAACAGGAGAGAGGTTTAGGTTTCCAGGCAATGGAGGAAGCCAAGCATTCTGTCTGCCCTTGCCAGCCTAAGCCTCCACTCAAGGCTACAAAATTTTAATTTTGGCAGGTAAACAAATCCAAACAGAAATGGCAGCAATCACAGAGCAAGCAGAAGGCTTGACTCTGCTTCAGGCTACAAAGTTTCAGTTGTAGGAGATATATAAATCCCAGATACCAGGGCTTCTGTTTGGGTCACCAGGAGGTGTGGCTGGCCTGAAAATCACCACAGGCCCCTCACCCAGGCCACCCCACGCCCCAAGGGAAACCTCACCCTGATCTGAGACACCCTTTAGGGCAAACCAGCTGGCCCCCACTTATACACTAGGACTCTATT